AAGAGTAGTTGGTCAAAGTCTGAACCACTTACATTTAAAGATGGACAGTCTTCCTCAAAAAAGTCGTAAGGCTTCACTAACTGAGAAGGGGGGGCGGGGGTTGTCTTTCTGTTAGCATGATTAACCTACATTGAAGTGAGACATGTCATTGTGTTCTCTTCCTTTGATTTAAATTTGGCCATTTTTAGATGTGAATCTGTTGCGCTCAGTCTGTTTTGTGACAGCTGCTCACAACTGCAGGCGGTCATGCGATCACAACTGTGTTAGTTAAACTACTGTACAAATATTTCTGCTATAGATAAGCATTATTTACTATTAACTACCTGTAGGTACTGCATGTAAACTATGACACATTACGCATAGTTTTATTTCTCTGCAGAGATCATGGGGACGGAACCGAGTCTGCCAGTTCTCCATCTATCCATAACAATCCTCAAGACTTGGACTCCATATTTGCAGTATGTGATTGTAGAACATTTTTTACCGTATTTAAAATCATTGAAAATTATCTGTTTTGATGACCCTTGCAGTGCTATTAAGACTAGTGTTGTCAACTCCTACTACATTGCCCGATTGTGGTTCTGTTTTAATCTGTCTGTTCTGTTACAGTTACTTCAGGAGAACATTATAGCATTTGTGAAGAATGAACTGCAGAGGATTCAGAGTGTTTTGAATCAAGGAAACTCTGACTATTTAGAGACTCAGAAGAAGCACGAGGAGGTGGAAGATTTTGGTGAAGAAAAGCAGATCAGGATCAGGAGAACAGCTTTTCTTAAGATCACACTGCAGTTCCTGAGGAGAATGAATCACAACGAACTAGCTGAGTCCCTCCAGAGCAGTAAGACATCTTAACAATACTGAGAAACAAATGATGATAATTAAAATGAGAAAGGCTATGTCATCTAATGATGCCACAGCGATCCATAATACTGCCATGAATTGCTGTGTAGTGGGCAGGAAGTGAACCTCAATGCAGGACTCATGAAAAAAGGAAACAAACTCAAAACAGGTTTAATACTTAAGTCTTTCAAAATATACATGCAAAAAACAGAAGATGGGCCTGGACCACTAAATTAGACTCTAAGGAAACACAGAACTAGGGACCACAGAACACCGAGGACAATGGGCAAATAAATACACATGGTAATGTGACTAGTGGGGAGAATTCACTGGGAAAAAAATCAGGAATAAGACAAGGGAGAGAAAACAAAATACAAAGCACACAACATGAGAGATTATCAAAGTAAAACAGGAAGTAACTGACAGAGTAAAAGCTAATGCCGAGATGTAGACCTATGAACTGGACACAATCGGGGAAAAACTCAAAATGAACAGGAGAATAAACCTGAAGTGAGATGCTTCCAGCATCAACATAACAAAACAAAAACTAAGGCTCAGCATATCAGTGTGATTATAAGTATGCTGAATTTATTTGCTCACTTAAAACTTCCGTAAAAATCATGGAGAGAAAGAATGTAATACACAATCAAAAATCCAGAAAAAACACAAAGTTATACATACTAACTTTGTGGACTGCGCTGACTTTGCATTTTAACAGAGACAGAATGTAAATGGTAAATGG